GCGGGCCTCCGAGTCCCCTTCAAGGTTGATCGCGGAGGGAGTAACCTCGCCTGGGCCCCGGGAGTAATGGGCCGAGATCGACTGCGGACCCGTTATGCGACTTGGCGCAAGAATGCCGCCGAGCCGGCCTCCGCGTAGCCCGCGTTATGCCGCTCGAGATACGAGCGCGCGCGCGTGCCTTCCTCTCCTTCGCTGGTTCCTCCTTGCTCTCACGCGAGGGAACATGCCTCCCCCTCGGATTTTTTCATCGATCCTCCAGAATTGGCAAAAGTCCACATTTTTCGGATAAAGTCCATGCCAGTGGTAAAAACCGGCAAAAAACCTGGTCTTTTCTATTAAAAATAATCAAGTAAATAGATTTGATTATTTTGAGTAAAAATACATTAAGAGGAAGACACAAGGACCCTGTATGGGCTTGCTTTGAATCTTGTACAGTTGACAACATTATTAAGCAGAAATGTATTGCTTGTGGAACATTAGTTAGGGGAAAAGCTCCACGACTGAAACAACATCTTCAAAAGTGTAGTAAGTTTGAAAAGAACGATGATGATAATTCAAGTAAAAGTGAATCAGACAGGAAGAGTGAAATGAATAAATCAAATAAAAGAAGAGAGATGGATCGATACCGAATCGCCTTCATATATTTTAAAGCAGCAGTTTTATAGTTTTTATCAGTTTATTATTCCAGTGGATAAACTCCGGACCGGTAAAATCCGGAATTTACCCTGGTTTTTTCCACCCACTGGATTTTTCCTGCCAACCCTGCAATCCTCCGTTGAATGTAATTTTCAGCCTTTACCTCTTTGAGTGCTTACTGCACTGAAAGAAAAGATTGGCTGCTGCAGCAAATTAGATGGTAAAATATGGCATAGCATTTTTATTTGGTTGCAACAGTCAATTTTTGCTGCAGCCAATTGTTGGTTGTGTTAGCCTATCCGCAATGTCAGTATAGGATTTTGATTGGCTAACGCAACCAAAAATTGGTTGCTACAACCAATTAAAAATGCTATGCCATATTTAACCATCTAATTTGCTGCAGCAATTAATCTTTTCTTTCAGTGTAGGAACCCATCACTGGGAAAAATGTCTGGAATAGATATTCGAGAAGATTCTGATATCAATCAGAATTCTGATTATCTCAATTATAAGAATTGTAGTAGATTTAATCAGAAAATTCTGATTCGTTCATTTTCAACCTCTAAAAAAATATCGGTTCGGATTTAGTGCCGTGTAGTGTCCATGTAATATTCTCATCATATTAATATCAATTACTTTTCATTTACATCAGAATAATTCTCATTTGTGACGTCATAATTCAATTGAATGGACGTTTCTTTTTATTTTGACAAGTGAGATTTAATTGAATTTTTACCCATAATCTGCACAAGCTTGAGATCATGTATACTGGGTCTTGTTAACCTGTTAATTCACATTGAAAGTGAAGCATAAATCTGTTATGCGATAACTTTGTCATTAAAATAAGCAAGTAGTAACGTCATTATCTAAGTATAAAATACATAACCTTAGATTTAGTATCACTTATGTGAAAGTGAAAAGCAACTACTATTAACACCAACATGGTGTGGATTTAAAACTCATGACGTTAAATCCGCACCGATATTTTTTAGAGTGCAGAATTCAAATTGATGCAACCTGCAGACATTTTTCTCAGTGATCGCAAAACTTTCGCTCAGAGACGTGCCACTTCTAGCTCTTCTAGCTAGCTATTGCGATATTCGTGTATGCATATAAGCAAGTAATAGCTCGCACAGGCGATTGCGCGAGGCAGGCATTCGTAATATCGTAGTTTCGCTCCGTCATTTAACTTGCCGGTTAATACTCCGTAGTTATGTGTCTGCGCGCCTTCGCCCCACGCTCTGCGCGCGATGTTAGATATTAACGCATCGGAGATATTAATGTTCAACCCTTCACAGACAGTTTCTCTCGCGCGGCAAATAGCGCCGGTCATATAGTGCCGCTATTGATGGATCCGAACTTGATGCATCCGCGTTTTTGGCATACCTTCGCACTCTCGCGGTATATGACGCGCTCTCCGCAAGCGGACTATGCTCGTATAAGGCGCACGTATATATACTCTCGAGGATGCAAGAGAGTAAGTTTTCTCGGAACGCATGATTCAGCACCCGGCGACATTAAGTGCGAGACCGTCGTCGCGCTCGTATATGCCATTCGGCGTTTAATGAATTAACAAGGGCCCCGTCCATTAGGCGCGTCCCGATGCGGTACGGGATCAATTAAAGCCACATTCACGGGTCAACGAGCGGCGAGAGATGCATTCTCCTCGGTTCGCGCTTAGCTCCAATTGAATTCAGAAGGGATACCGTTAGATTTTCAATCGAATCCAAAAACGAGCAGCGAATTCAGCCGGGAATTGTTAATTCACGCTCGATGAAAAAACTCTAATTGCTTTTGCGTCGATCGAGGTTTTCGATTCGGGTTTTTCGATTCGAGAGCTAGGCTTTTTTTGTTAATCATTTTTTTTTTCTCGCGGTTATATTTAACAACGCCGACGAGAAATATATGCGGGATGAGGGGATCGGTTCTTGCGTGTAATGGCGATCGGCTCGTTGCAGAATCGACCTCACCTAACCGCATGTCGCGTGGCGACCGCGTCACTTTGTTTTCTTTCCGTTTCTAATTTCGTGCGGGCACAAGAGTGACGACCGGCTTCGGCGTGCAGGGTGCGTACGACGCGTACGTGCGTAGTGCATTCGATCGCGCGCGATGAGACCGATCCGATGCGATCGTGTATGCGCGTCGCGTCGTTGCGTCGACGCACTTTTCGTATTCCGCGCACGCAATTCCTATCGTCTTAGGCATTTAGTTCTGGTTTTCCTTTCTTTATACTGAATTCTTTTAAATTTTATCGAGAGAGAGAGAGAGAGAGAACGTTTATTCATATTCTCTCGCGTTTATTAATATTCTTCCAGGAATTGTGTGCGTGAGAATATTAATAAACATTCTCTCTCCCTTTCTCTTTCTCTGTCAGAACATCAAAAGAATTCGGTAAGAAGGTTTTTTCTTGTAAATTTTATTTTCAGAAAATGTTTATCAATACTGTAAGGGCAGGATTGCATTAGAACTTCACGGAGAGAATTTTTTCTTAGAATTCACCCTGAAAATATGACTTGTGGGACTTGAAATACAACATTGTATTTCGAAGAATTTTAATGTAAATCTCTCTCATTCATTAATAAAACTACAATAAAGTAAGTTTGATCAATTTTACTGAAGTGCATAGTAAAAATCTTTAAAGTATTGTGTTGTACTACAACTATTATATTTTCAGGATAGAAATCAGGCAAATCATGGAAAGCTAGGGAAATTGAAACCGTTCAGAGAAAAGTCAGGAAGTTTTGCAAAAATTTTCTGGGAAATAAAATTCTTAGTTTGGAAATCAGGGAAAAGTTATGGAACTCTATAGGAAGAGCAATTTGTGGCAACTCTGAAGGCGAGACCTATAAGATCATAGAAAAAAGAAAGACAGAAGAATTAAAGTAAAGAGACAAAAATATGAAATAATATAAATCTGAGAGAGAGGGGGGTGTGTCCACTGAACGGGGTAGTGCAATAATCTTCCGACAGTCCCCGCCGCCGCATCGGCGAATTGGTCCATGACGGACCTTCCTGACACACGCACCGACCACACGACGGGCACCCACGTACCCATTCTCCGTTTACCATATGCGGGGAGTTCGATCTCGCGGTTAGGCGCGCTTCCATCGTCGCCTTAAGGCTCTGCCGATGCCAGGCGTGTGCGTCGGCGCTCAGTCTCCACGCGCCTCGCGGATCGTCAGTTTGAAAAGGTCGCTCGATCTGTCCAATCCGCTCGTCCATCTATCCGTCCGATTTCGCTTTTCTCTCCGGTGTTTTTCACGGCCGGAGATCTTCGACACCGTACAGCTCCAGCCGTAGGTGCGTGTCGTAGGCATTACAGTGTCACGAATTAGAAAAAGCAAAATTGTCTACCGGTTTATACCCAACAGTTTCAGTTTATTTTACCAAGTGAAGGAACTCTGATAGAAAATTTGTTGGTCGAGTAACATGTAGTGCAGTGTCCTCATAAAATTATCCATTAAATCCGACGTTATTAGCCTTGTTTATAAATTCTGCGATCTATTCTTGTTTGTCTGTGTAAAAATATACAAGTTATTTGCTATTAAGGCCTATAAATTTTCAGACAAAAGGGATTGCGAATATTCGGTTAGATAAATCATAAGCTAATTATGATTAATCACATTTTATTAACCGTTGTTGCGGTTGTGCTGTTACCCTATCCTAGTTGTTAGCCTAATATGCTGAACGATCGATTATAAATTTGATGGATACGCGTGGGTTAATAGTACCTGGTGGCCGGGCGTAACCATGATCGAGTTTCCAAGTTCCTTACTAGGCGTGCACCAAGGCTGTTGATTTCTAATCTAAAGCGGATATATCGATCAATCCTTTTTATTCTGATCTCGTTACTCTTTGTTTCCACTGTTTTTTTTTTTTTACAATTCCCTCGATCGTTTGCGATTCGATGGCTAGTGCATCAATTTGCAGTACTTCTTTCGTGCAAAATAATGAATTAATCGCGTTATTACACGACCTGTAACTGAAACATATAAGTTCTGGTGATTCAAAAGTTTTTTCTAATTATTAAATAGTAATGATTTAGAATAATTTTATGTTTCACCATCTTATTTTTCACAGTTCTAAGCTTGAAGAATTTTTAGAAAATATAAAACTCTAACAGCAAAAACTTTAATGGATCCCAAAGAATACCTTCTTTTAGTGTCAAAAAATATGTGTTCCCGTAGCGGGTTATGTATTTAGTTATAGTACGATTTTAGGATCATTTTCGAAAAATAAAATTGTTAGTCCTAAAATTGTCGAGGTTCTCTCCGGCCACGTTTCACTTTTATAGAATTATTTTTATTAAACTTCTTTTAACGTTCGACTATCTTACTCGCGCATTGCGCATTATCGTTGTACAGGTTTTCCATCTTCGTGTTGTCACTCACAGCAGCACGACGGCGAGTCGGGTGTTTTTCGAGAATTCACAAAGTGCCATATCGTATAAGAGGTTGGGGCGACATAAAGCGACGCGGTCTCATTTACATACGCCGCGCGGCAGATTGGAATCCGAAGGTGAGGGAATCCTTGGCCGATTCCTCGAACGACGGGAGGGTCCGAGAAAACCGATCGCGTTCCAGCCGAAGCTGGTGCACGTCGTGGTAAACAACGACGAATAATCGGCGGATACCACGAAGATTCGCGCGTCGTGCATTCCGCCACGCTGTCGAATATAACGGCGATAAAAACGAGAAGGAAACACGAGACTATTCAACGAACGACGAGCTGAAAAGCCGAGAGCTCTTCCAACTCGAGAGCGAACTTTGAGAGAGAAAATTTAGGAAAATGTAAGAAGAGTATATTCACGCGACTGGAAGCCAACGAACTAGGCGTGTCCAGGTATACTTCGAAAGAACGCGAGATTTCTACGAACACAAATCGCTGTCGAATGGTGAACGCGATTTAAACGCGGAATAAGCGAGCTAATCGCGAGCCCTGCCGCCGGCTGTTGTCAGGGCGGTGGAGAACGGTGCCGGTTCCGCGTTCTCGTGTCGTGAAGTGTGTCATGATAGTTCGCGCGTGAGCCGGGCATGAACGTTGAAACCTGCACCCTCTACTTCGCTGGGACGGCCCGGGGCCCGGAGAAGGACAGGATGTCGACCCAGGCTTACTACAAGGAGCGGCTCGGCTTCGACCCGGCGGACACCGTCGCCGAGCATCAGCGCGAGCAACGCTCACAGCACGGTTACGAGGAGTCACTCTCCAAATTCAAAGGTCAGAATGCAAACGGATTCCCGGAGGAGGGTCCGGGATGCAATGGCGAAATCGGGGAACACCGTGCTGGCAACACCCAGGCTTTCTGGGGCTGCTGGGCGATGTTCATTGAGGCGCACGGTAGGTCAAGAGAGAGAGATGTACAGAGTTGGCATGCGGATGCTGGAAGATTTTTCGTGAAAGCTCAGTTGTTTTTATTTTTCCCTTTTTGTGGTTTTTGTTGTATCCTGGAATTTTTATCCTTATATACTCTCTTTTTTTTTTTTTTTTGAATAAGTAAAGCAAACAATTTTTTTGCTATTTATCTGATTACTGATTTTATATAAATTCGAAACGAGAGACGTTCTCCTTGCGCGAAATTAACGTCTTTGGGATTAAATCGTTGGAATTTTTATTCCAAGCACGTAATAACCTTCGCAACATGCTAATTTCGACATTCCTGCCCGATTTAAGAGCGGAGGACACTTAAAAAAAACAGCTATAATTATGGAACGGTTCCTATAAAACGACTATAATTCGAAGTTGGCTATTGAAGTGAATATTCATGATACCTTTGTCGGTAGAAAACGTAACATACATTAAATTTACGATATAATAAATCAAATTCCTAAATGTACAGCATTATTTCCATGAAACTGATATAATTTGTGAAATTAATATTCTATATTTGTTTTATAATAATTATATAGTTTAACCGTAGTTTAACCGTGTCTATATACATAAAGATTGCACAAATATTTCCAATCGTTCATCCAAATATGCAATGCGTTTGCCTGCAGTTTGCAAATTGTAAATTTACTCACACACAGTGTGATGATATTGCTTTACTAACTTGGCGATTAAATTTGTTCCACCGACCGCGCTTGTAACACGCGCGATGCGCGTCTAAAAGGTTTGGGTTACGCTCGCGACGTTTGTTTGATAAATGTTTGAGCTATGAGTGTCGCTTTCCTCGCCTCACCTTTTTATAGCAGTCGAGTGTAGTTTACGTGTGGAATATCCAAACTTATCATCTGTATACATGAAATAAATAGACAGATATAACTAAAAATAGCGATTATCTTTTATCCTTTGTCTGTTTATATCCATTTTCACCAATGTATATTAATCTCGATTCAATTTACTCTTCGTCTTTTTCTAGTTCCAGAAATTAGAGAATGATGAAGAGTAAGTTGGATCGAATTTAAAGTTAATCTATAGAAGATAAAAACAAAATATACCTATTTAAAATTATATTATTTATTTTATTACTGGTTTATTACACAGTAAAAAAGAAAATGTTAATTTTAACATGTTTTACATGTCCCAGGAGATCCACTCTAAATTTTAAGTTAAAATAACTCATTCGTCTTGTGTTATTTATTAACGAACTAATAATGTTAAATAATTGACACAATACTTTACATTTATATTTGTTATTTTGACTTTAAGGGTGATTTAAAACTAACATATAAAATAAGTAGAGTACATAGACGAGTAGTTGCAGTAACTCGTAAGAAAATGTTAATAAAACATTTTTGTTCGTATAATGTGAATGAAAAAATTCTTAGATATGTTAAATTGACTTTGAGATATATAGATTAATTGAAACAATTGTGTTAAAAACACTCAAAATAATATTCCATTTTTAATTGACATAAGAAAGTGTTAAGTTAGAAAGGTGACATGAATCTAACACATCAAAATATTACAAAAATAATAACATATCAGTTGTATGTTAATTTTACATTGAAGTAATAATCAAAATGTGGTAACACAAGAAAAATTCTACATATGGACGCACGATTTTTTACTGTGTAATAAGAGCAGCTCTTTGCGTTTAATATACTCAAAGTTTTAGAGAGTATGTATACATTGGTGGAAACGGGCATAAAGCCGTAATTGCACAACCGATTGCCGATTGCGATTGTGATTGGCGATTATTTCTCAACCAATTAGAGCGAAGTAATCGATGACTACTTTGCTCTGATTGGTTGAAAAATAATCGCCAATCTCACAATCGCAATCCAATCGACGATCTTAGTGTGATTACGGCTTTAGACGGCTTAGGATGTCTGTCAACCTCCGTCCACCCCCGGAGAATCCGGAGAAAAATTTCAGAGTTTGACGCGTCGCATTCGCGAAGTCACGCGGATCCGGTGTTCCACGCACGCGGAGTTATCCACGGCCCACCATTTTACAATTACGCCAAGTAGACAAACAATAAACAATGGCCGTCACTTTTCATAATCTCTGCCCACTCGGATTGCGCATTGCGACTCGTATACGCCCAGTTAGCTGCTTTTCACTTAGCGCAAAAGTAAACGGCCGGAAGGCTCGTACAAATGACGTCAGCGTCGTGTCGTTCGCCGCGATTGATCACTAATTTAATCGTAATTACCGACATCGCGTCCGGCGAAGAGTAATTCCACCCGTGACGCGGCCGTTACGTCGTTGTTATCAACGTTGTTGCTTTCGTATCGTATCTCGTATCCCGCGCCTTGTCTCCTCGGGGTTCTTTTGACGGAGCTGATGGAGCGAAGGACGCGCATTATGAAATCGAGAGTCTCTCGTCCGCGCGTTACAATCTCCTCTTACACGAGCTTACCAGAGGTGCGGTGATTAATAACGGAAGTGTTAAAATACGCTCGCGTCGTTGCTCATGAATGAGGTACATGAGATACATCAGCCGAAGATGTCAATCACGATTAGGCCATTCTCTTTCGTAGCTTCTGTAAAGGTGTCTTCGAACGATACATTTGTTCGATGAACGTTTGCATGCATACAAAATGGAGTAATGACTGGCAAAAATGACTAAAACTTGGATCTGTAAAGTTCGCATAACATTCTCTTTATATAAAAAAAAATTAAGCCAGTTCCAATAGTATTTTTCATAGTTCTACAGTTACTTATAAAAATAAAAAAAGTTCCATATTTTTTATACTAAAAATCAAAATTGAAAATATGACGTTGCTAATTTTGGTTTTTAATGTAAAAAATGCAGAAATTGTTTCTATTTTTATAAGGAACTGTAAGGTTCCTTATAAAGGCAGAGTTAAGACTCAAAGTTCTAAATTTTATTATGTTAGATGAAAGATTTATTAAGCTTATATATGACAGAAAAATTTTACTTAAATTTTTATTATAAACACTGTGGCGAGGATCGTACATATCAATGTCAGGATATATCGTGTAATAAACGTACTCAATAAAACAGTAAAATTTGTCACCAGAAATATATTCTGATCTACTATGCCTTGATTTGTCGAAAGTTTGATAACTGGACAATGTTACCTAACACCATCCTAAATGCTGAAAGAGTATCGCTAAAATTACAGCCAAGAACTTCCGAAAAGAATAAATACTGATGAATACATTCATTGACGTTTATCTTTAGCCCCTGCAATGTCAGTTAATGTTCTCAGAGCTTCCACATTCCAGCATTCGTATCTGCTAATAACAAGAACTTACTGAAGAAAGCGTGCGTCAATATATATATATACGCATTTCTTCAAGATTAGTTCATGTCTCTCTCTTCTACCGATGCGCTTTATATTGGAACATTTAAAAGGGGGATAAAATATACTAATATATTAATTTATTTTACTGGCAACTGATATATATTTTTGAAGAAGTAAGGCATGTTGTATCAGAATTTGTAATTATGTAATTAAAATATGTATGTGTATAATTAAATTATAAATTATATAGCAATTAATTTATTATAGAATATTTAGGAAACGTATCTGCCATCTATTTTTGGAATAATTTTAATTGGATAGCCTACAATTTATCGCCACGTGTCATAATATTTCGTCGAAGTTTTTGAGATTTGATCGTGAAATTGATTGTTCATTGGCATAGATTAGCGAAGACGAGCGATTAAGGCCATACCAATTAACGACTGACAATTCACGCGAAGCTATCTCTATAGTTATGACATTGGGAATTGAATTCTCCGAAATTACGTTAGCTCGTGATCGGTAATAGGTCGTTGTGGCACGATGATTAGACATCGAAAGACGGCCTTCGCAAGTTTAGACTCTGACTCTTCCCTGACGTTTATAAGGTGTTGGCTGTGAACGTTGAGAAACTGACACCTTTTCTTGCATTTTGTATGCGATCTGCAGCTTCGTCTGATATTTTCTATTCTAGACAGTCACGATTAAGAAATCTTTCTGTCGAGATTTTATTCTATCTACTGAAAAGATCATTATTTACTCTTACCATTATGACTGATTTAACTGATTGATTATACATTGGAAGTTGTTCTATGTAACAGATTAAATCATCTCTCAGTCAATTCTGTCTTCAACTATGTCAAACTTAAAACGCTAAGAGATTATTCAACTGCAGTGTACGTCGAAATATAAACTGATTATCATAGAAATAATAGTACATATAAATGGAGATTGAAGATTTCTGTATTTTTCTTGATTAATATATACTATATACATACATATAATTGTTTCGTTATCTTTTCAGGAAAGATAATAAAAATATAATATACATTAACAAGTAAATATCAAAGTATTTACGTCCTATTTTTCTTCTCAATGATTTATTAAGAAAGCTCTTTTGCCTAAGTTTTTACTTAAAGGAAGGTCGACTTTTAATTCACAAGAAAATTTGTCATTGAAAGTCAAATCGCGAAATGCGGGGTTCTTTGCATATTAATTGCCGCGTTAATTGCTGCGCCTAAGCATTACTCGAATGCAGTTTAGAATTGTTAACAAGGTGTTAAAACTGGGCCAAAGTTGGACCCAACAACGAGGCGAGATAATCTACGAAGAACAAATGCTCGGTTCGCAGAGTAGAATGGAATGTTTGATTTCGCGTAAGCTGCAAAGTTTGTTAAGCCACGCGCACGTGCGTGAGTATAAGACATTAATGAACTTTCCACGGATTTATACTAAGCAAAGTTTCCGACGCATACTTGTCACGCGAGATCTTTACCATTCTGAAAAAATTCTTCAAAATTAACATGTACTTTACACAATGCAGCTAATGCATGCCATTATGTCATCCTGTACATTTAATATTGATTGTACACATTTTGTTTTATATGTTTTGCTAAATGTACATTTCAGTCCAAAAGCTCGGAAACATTTTCTTTAAATTAATATTTTTCGAATTATTTATTTAACTATCCATAACAATGTGTCTTTTTAATATATTAATTCTTTAAATCCAATAAAACAGTTATCTGATCTGAAGAATTATCGTTAAAAAGCATATTGTTATAGATATTTTCTAAAGATTGAAAATATTTAAAAAAATTGACGTTTTTGATTACTCAAATATCTATAACAATGTTTTTTGAAACAATAGTTTTTTAGATTCTACAACAATTATATCCAATAATAATTATCTGAAGAATATTACGTAATCCCAAAACATGTTAATTTTTAAAAAGTTTTTTCAAACTTTTAGCTTGGAGTGTATTACAGGTGGACAATATATTGTATTTTCTTTTATGGTATCATTTCTGCGACGCGTATCACGTAGGAGTCGTTGAACGCGTTATGTGTTCATTAAAATGTTTGATCGCAATTCTCTCATGAGAGCGACAGACGCACTCGGAAAATATGATCGTTCACAGGGCAGTCCACTCGAGATATTTCTAAATCTAGAGAAGTGCTCCCAAGAGTATATCTCTTTTTTTTTTACCTCTTATTTTGTATCGTCTGGCGGTGTTAGGCTGACACTTCCTGCCGGCTTGTCGACCTTTTAAACGTACCGGTCGATGATACCGTCACTCGAGTGGCGTTAACTTTTCACGGGGTATGATGATGAGGTGTCAAGTATGCGTTGCAAATCATAACTTTAGATGGTAAATTAATGGGTATCGATAAACTCTACGCTAATTCTCCGCGATTATAGTCTTCAATAAATGATTTATGCATTAATGTCTTATTAATATGACGTACGCCCTACTTTTTGTGCTCGTTAATTTGCCACAGAATGATGAATCAGTGCTCTAGTTTGTTTTTCAACCTTTTTCAAGAAGTTCTTACAAGCATTTATTTGTTTCCTTATTGTTTTAAAAGTTTTTATGTAAGACTTTTATCTAAATTTTTATATAAGATTTCATTAGACATCCTGAAAAGTGATGTTAGTGCAGTGATAATATCGCTTTGATTAAAATGAGAGGAAGCACAATATAAAATATTTAGATAATTTTCACAATTAAAAAAATATTTTTTACTTCATGCCTTACTCATTTCTTAATTATTTCTAAATTTTTTGTCTTTTTATTTTCTCTAAAATTTTTGCACACTTGGAGATCCTTTGCGGCACATCGGTTGAAAAACTTTGTTCTAGTTGCAGATGTATGCAGTGTACGACATCTATTATACCTATATAGTCAATAGTTAATTTGTACACGTTTCGACATCTCAATCACCGAATACGAATCGTTAGTCTCATGACTGGGATGTCATTTAAAATTACTCATCCGTGTTTCAATAACCGCAATACGCTACAAAAATATATCATTAATTCATAAGAAACCCCGGACTTGACGTTGGCGTCCTTGCGGTCCCGGCCGTTGCGTCACGTCGATGACAAAACGGAAGGCCTCGAATGATAATTTCACGACGGCTCGAGATGCGTATTTCACAATACCCGATTAATATGAGATGTTTAGTACACGGAAAGAACTATTTATATGAAATATCAAATATTTTAGTTAGATACAGGTCTGAAAATAATTTTGTTAGATTATCAAAATAATTGTATAAGACGCTTAAGCTTGTTGTTAAAATGTTAAAAACTGTTTGCAGCATTAATCATCATGCTTTAATTTTCTACATAATTATTTTGATGGTCTAACAAAATTACCTTTAGATTTATATCTAGCTAAATTTTTACACTGAAAAACGAGTCTGATTGTATTGCTTCAGGTTAAAAATGGACAAATCAGAATTTTCTGATTCGTTCAAGAAATTTTTCTTAATATAGATATTCAACAAAATCGTTGTTTCCGCGTAAATTAAATCTTATTTATATAGTTTTATTTGTGGATCAATACAAGAGACAGAATTCTTCGATTCTATCCCGTATCACGGATTCTGTATCGCACAAGGTGGGCTTGGATTTTATTCATACGGTCCATTGTCCGTATTTTTGTGCTTCGCATGCCAACCGATGTATCGAGCAGCTTGCCAAGCCGGCCGACCTTCCGTCCGCTCGCTCGTTCGCTCGCGCCTACCTATCTACCTGTCTACCTGCTTGACCTCATCCAACTTGACCTGCTCCGGTTGCTTGCGACTTTGGTTTCGTTATACTGACCTCGACTATCCTTAAAGGCTCATTTCCAGGCGGCGTTGCATCATGACGCTCTCGCTGTCACGCTAGAGTCGTATGCATAACGTTACATCGTCGCGGCATAGTAATGTAACAGCTACACCTATATCAGTGCGACGAATTGCGAAATTCAATTGTCACGGTAATCTATATCGTTGCTGCGATGACAATCGCGGCGATATGTACCGTACTATAGTTTGAGCACTGCTTATATAGTACACGTGCTACGTTTGTGCAGCGTGACATCGAGCAAGGCTACGCTCGTTGCATAAATGTAGTGGCAATTATGATAATGGAATATAACACAAATTGTTGACAATTACGCTAATGTTATGAGGGGATGTTTTATATTTACATTAGCTATTACGAATACAGGTGCATTATAATGCATTATTGCGAACATTGCATTGCTCATAACATTGCAGTAATCGCTGAAGGAAATTTCACGTTTCTAACATTTCTGCTCTTTTTGTGTGTTCACAGACGAACGAGATGCTATACAGAAGAAGACCTTCACGAAGTGGGTGAACAAGCATTTGAAAAAGGTGAGACCGCTTCTCGAATTCTCGCGTTAGTTTTATATTGTCCTGCGGCGTTTTCTCGTTACTTCACGTCATCTTAATTAGCCCGATGGCACTGATGCAAAATATCCTCTATTGGAGAAATGTGAATAAATTTGTGGTGAATTATAGGAGGTATTTCAAGAAAATTATGATTTGTACGTTATAAAAATTTTGTACGTATTAAAAAATTTAATATTTTGGTTATTTGTAGCAAGAATTTTGAAATAAAAAATAAATGGATCTTTTCTCAGTAGAGGATGTTTCAAGTCAATCGTATTTCTTTTTAGAATTAAACGGGAAAATTAATATTTAAGAGAGAATATATTTTGAGATACTTCTGTATAACGACTAAAGGCTCGGATTACAGTAGAATTGTGTGACGCCCTAGGCCCACAGACTTCTATTAGACTGATCACTTCGCCATCATGTTTGATATTAAACAGTACCCTCGATAGGAGCTACCATTTTATATCCACCTCACATACAGTCTTGATCAAAAATATTAGGCACCTACATATATTTTTTCATTTATCTGAAATTTATCTGCATTTTGTTAACTACTTTATACGTTTAAAGGGTTTTTGGAATAATGAATAATTTACAGCAAATGCCATAAATCAATTTTTGAGCTGAAACTTTAAACAATGATTAATAAAATGCTTAATATTTTTGGCCAAAGTACGTGGAATACAGTACACATACGTGTTCATAGGTAGGCATTGGTTGCATTCAACAGAGAAAACTAATCAGTGAGCACTTAGTAACTTCTTTAATATGATTGGTTCCTACACTTACAATTAGATCCAGCGAAGAATTAAGCAAGACTCAATCATATTAAAGACTCACTGAGCGCTCACTGATCAGTTTTCTCTGCTGTACGCAACCATTAAAGCCTTGTATCCACGATACTAGAACTCGATCCAAGCTCTCGGATCATGAAATGTATAGCCAATCAGCTTACAGTTTTTACGGAAAACTAGCTATACATTTCTCGATCCGAGAACTCGGATCAAGTTCTAGCATCGTGGACACTAGACTTAACAAGAACTTCTTGGCATCATTTTTGTCCTTTTCTATCACATGCAAAATAATTGAAATGAAGTCTATATAGTTATAAAAGTATGTGCCTAAGATTTGAGGATTGTTAAGTGCGATCTTTTACCTTGGTCTTATCGTTCTAACTTCACATCTATTCTTTCAGTAAACAAGTCTCAAGTTTGAGATGAAGCATAATGGTTGTGTATTTTATCCATTTGCGAGCTCCTCGTTTTATGTCCATGTTACCGTGACGAAATTACAAAGGCGGATTGTCGTTTCATGCACAAAGCAGTAAATCATCCAATGCCGAAGAATTTACGATTCGCATAAATCGTGATCTGTGCAAGGAGGCACAGTATGAGAGAAAATTTATCTCTATTCAGATTATTTTTTTTACTCGATTGGAGGAGACAAATTTATACGTTGCTCAGTATTCCGCGAAGTACATAAATCTACAAAATTGC